CTGCTCCGAGTGGGAAGCCACTTCCTCCTTCCTGGCATTCACAGATGGGAGTCTTCATGCTGTCTATGCTATTTCCGGGGTTGAAGACAGATTACTCTTCTCCAATTCATTCAAGTTTATTATTTTCTTTTTTTAAAAAGAAAGATCTCTTTAAGATTATTAAATTTCCCAGAATTGTCTAAGCCTTGCCATTGTTCCTCATGAGGACCTTCTTACACCAGCCCTGAGAGCTGGGAATGCCCTGGGCTATCTGTCTTGCCAGACTGAGAATGCACGGGACCCTTGAGGGATAAATCTCCCAGTCTGCCTCCTGTCACCATCCCAATTTAGCTAGCACATTCTAACCATCTCTAGCTGGAGGCTGCTTGATGAAGAGGGCATGACTTCTCAAAGAGCTTAGGACTAGACCCCGAGGAGGAAAGTGAACCCAACGCCTGCCAGGTATGGCTCTCACCACCCACATTATCCTCCCATCACCGTGGGTCACAAATAGGTCTCACTACAGAGAAGCAAATCACTGTCATTTTTTGTCTAGTTCAGTGTGTCCTACGAGTTGGACACCTGTCTTCCACAGCCTGATTGTCTGGGTTTGAATCTCTGAGTTACAGCAACTGAGCTGAATTCAGGAGTATGGGGTACCCACTAAAGTTTCCAGGTGCTTATGCCTCGGGACAAAGGACTGCACCAGGAACACACTGTGAGAAATAGAGATGGTTTGGGCCTGGGAGACAGCTCAACTGGTAAAGGCACTTGCTGTCAACCCTGACAGCCTGAATGCATTCTATGGAACCCTTACGGTGGAAGAAGAGCACTGACCAATGAGAGTTGGTCCTCTGACTCCATATGCATGTTGTAGCATGTATATGCCCCCCACCCCCGGAAAAGGAATAGTAGTAATAAGGTGAAGAAGAAAGAGAGGAAAGAACCAGAGGGAAGGCAAGGCAGCACACTCCTGAAAGTGGGGGTAGGTCAGTGAACTGAGGAAACGGTAGCCGCTGTGGTGTTCACCACCCTTCCTAGGTCATGCTTTCTCTGGCCATTTATTTTTATTTTTGTTAAGATTTATTTATTTATTATGTATATAGTGTTCTGCCTGCATGTATGCCTGCAGGCCAGAAGAGGGCACCAGATCTCATTACAGACGGTTGTGAGCCACCATGTGGTTACTGGTAATTGTACTCAGGACCTCTGGAAGAGCAGGCAGTGCTCTTAACTGCTGAGCCATCTCTCCAGCCCCTTTCTCTGGCCACTTATGCACTGCATTTTTTTTTTTTTGCACATGCTGTGTCTGCCATGTGTCACACAGGTGGGGAGGGGTTTCCAGTCTTGTATTGTCAACTGGCTTCTCTCATATGCTGGATTCTGCCCTCTCCAGTTCCTACTCTCATGCCACACCTACTGCTGTGCCTCTCACAAGAGCTCCAGTAAGTTCTATCCTCACTGCCTGAGTTGTCTGTAAAGGTGAAATAAATGTAACACACTTGATCTGGGTAGAGCAGTACCCAACATGTATGAGTGTGCCTTGTTACCTAATCAACTCCTAAGAGAGTCCTGGGTTCTCAAATGTGACTTTTGAAATGCACTGACTTGGAAGAGAGTTTTACATTTTGTCCTCTGAGCTCATGGTTCTTGCCTCAGATGCATACCTCTTGATTTTAATATGCATATCACAGGCAAATGTGATGTGTGGGATTATGTAATTTCTATATGAAGAGCAACTGACAACTTGGCCAGTGATGGGTACAGACTCTGGGCTGTGGCCTCAGATATTACTTATTCTTTGAGGCTGCCCCATCTCTGCTCTCACGAAGAAGAGGGAGAGCTTTCCAAAAATAGTCAACTTGCGGATAGAGCAATGATCCTCTCGCTGTGTGCTCAGTGACCTTTGTGTGGAGACACATACCTCAGCATCCAGAATCAGTCAAAAGCAGAGGAACTAAAGGTGCCACTTGTTAGCTTGCAAGCAGCAGGACTCACAGTGGCTGGTCCTCACCACAACATTTAGTATAGATGAGTTTTGAGATGGCTGTCTTGCTCATAGAGTCCCCTCACCCCTGTGTTATCCTGTGTTCCTATGTTGCTCCATATGGATACCCTGGAGGTGTGAGTTGTAGGCTCTAACCTCCACTGGACCAAGCAGGATCTCCTGGAGGTTTGGAGTTAGCTCCAAGTGGGTCATTCCTGCATGTGACTGGAAGCCAGGAGTAATGAGAAACAGGAGTTACCAGAAGAGCAGCAGTGATGGTACTGCCAGGATCTCTGGCATCCTCAGGCTAACTCTGGTCTTTGCAGAGCACTGCCTACCCATGCTTCCTGACTCTGTGAACTGCCTGGATCCTTAGCAGAACTCCTGTACTTAGCTTGGATTATATTGGTTGTGGTTAATTACAGTTAAGAGGCTTAATTAAAACAGTGTCACCCTTTGGGGGTGGAGGAACATCACAACACTGGCTATCAGGGCATGCGACCGTGGAGATGGGATGTGCACACGTCGCCAGTAGATCAAGGGTGAACAGGGAGTGCCACTACTTCTTCACCCACCTCTCGACTCTGGGCCCAAGAGTCCAGTCTGCCACACTGGACAATGGTTCCCAGAGCATACAGACGGCCTTTCTGGATACCGTACTTCCCTGAAGCTATAAGGGAGACTTCAGAAGGTCATCCTACTGTCTTCCAACTCTGGCACGACAGGGACTCTAACCAGTGTGGCCCATCACCATGCATTGTGCAATGTGCAATGGTGGACAAACCTCTCAGCAAGGCTTCAGATATTCATGTTCTAAACCAATTAACTTATTTAAAATACATATGTTTATGCCTATGGCAATGTCTCCCACGTATTCTCTCCTGGGTTACAGGGCACGAAGCTGGCTGACCATCAGGGAGCGGTGATGTGTTGGAGACTCTGTGTTGATCTTTGCTGCTGGCAGATCAGGCACAGTGGCTGCTGAGGCTGGGTGGGCCTTGTTGAATAGAGATCTAAGTTGCTGAGCCCACATGTCATATTTATCCCTGCTGCCATGCTCTCGAATGCATGGGGTAACAACAGCGCAACTGGAGAAAGAGGCTGGCTACTAACTTCAGAACATGCCACCCATTTACCCATTTACTTGGTTCTTGAGGTCCCCTGCTTGAGGTCACCTCCTGGTGTGTGTGCGTATGTGAGTATGTGTGTATGCAGGTACTTACAAACAAGGTGGCAGTTGAGTTAAAGAATCTGATTCTGATATTTTAAGTTAAAAAAATGTTTTCCTTTCACATTGTGTAGTGTGCATGTCTGTGTGTGTGGGTACCAGTGATAACCAGTAGAGGGCATCTGATCAATGCTCTGGAGCTGGAGTGACAGGTAGTTGTGAACTGCTCAATATAAATGCTGTGAGACTGAACTCTGGTTCTCTGCAAGAACAGCATAGGCTCTAGACTGCCGGGCATCTTTCCAGGCCCATTTTTTTTTTCGAGACAGGGTTTCTCTGTGTTGTTTTGAAGCCTGTCCTGGAACTCACTCGGTAGACCAGGCTTGGTCTCGAACTCACAGAGATCCACCTGCCTCTGCCTCCTGAGTGCTGTGATTAAAGGAGTGCGCCACCACCGCCCGGCTTTCCAGCCCCATCTTAAGACAGTTTATGTTATGTATTTTCGAGGTATTCCTAGCTATCCTTGGGTGTGGGTCAGATATATCTGGGAGTCTTCTATGGCAGGTTGATCAATTCAACTAAGTTTTCTGTGGGATGCCTCTCAGGGGAGGCAAGGGTTAATTTTAGCTTCTATCTCCAGATCACAGCCCATCGTTGAGGGGAGTCAAGGCAGGGACTTGCTTGCTATTCCACACAGCATTAACCTCCAACCAAGAACTCACTTTACGCCAAGGAGGTACAGCAGGATGCATGGAGGGTGGTGCTTGCCAGCTGGCTCACAGGTAGGCGTCTGTTCAGCTGGCTCTCTTACACAGTTCAAGGCTGCCCACCTTAGTAAGTGGTCTACAGCGGGCTGGGCCTTTCTACACCAGCTAGCTGTCAAGACATTTCTTGCAGACATGCTACAGGCCACTCTGATCTAGGCAATCATGGACTAAGGCTCTCTTCTCACATGACCCCAGGCGATGTCACATTGACAGTTAAAGCTGATTAGGACCCTGACTTAGTGTCGTTTTCAAGTGTCACCCACTGCACTAAATCCACTCTCTGCTTATGTCTTTATTAACTTCAGCCCCATCCACCTGCGCTGTCCCACAGGCCCCCCCGTTAGGTTACAGGCAATGTACTTCACACCACTTCTCCCAGGGCCTTGCCCCTCTTCTGGCTGTCACAGGTGCCTCCCTTCCTGCAGAAACCCTCCCATGCTTCTTCACAATGTTCCACTCTGCCCCAGTCTCCATCCACAGCTAGGGCTCCAGGCCTTTGGCTTCAGGCTGACTACTTCATGCAGTTCAGTTTTGTAGGTTTATTTTTGCCTCCGGGTGCAGAGGCGAGATAATGAAGGGCCTGGCCTCTGACTGGCACTTCCTGTACCCACTGTCCTGTAGCAGGTGCTTTGCAGAAGGAGCCAAAGGAAAGAGATGGAGGAGGTGAGCCAGCTGCCACGAGCTTGGCACGGGCCAAGGCCTGTGTGCTCAGGCCAGGCCAGCGCTGCCAGCGATTCTCAACATTGGAGTCACAAGTCGTTTTTGAACATCTGCTCCCCATCCCCCGCCCCCAAGTCATCTGTCACTTTTCTTCCCGCTTCACCCGACTTGGTAGGAAGGAGTCTCAGTCTTCTCCTCCATCCTTACCAGGGTCTGGGGGAAGCGCTCAGTCTTTTGGTCCCTGGACACCCTGCCCCATCATCGCACTTCCCCTCTTGGTTTCCAGCAAGTGAAAAGCAAAACTTTCTGAGTCCTGCGGTCTGGGAGCCGCGAGGGGCGGCGCGCGCGTGCGGGCGTGCAAGGGGCCGAGGCTGGAGAGGAAGCGGCGTCCCTGGCAAGGAGGAAGGAGCCTCCCCTCGGCTCGGCCCCCTGCCCGTTTCCCACCACCTCCTGCGGCCGCCAGCGCCGCGGTCACGGGCGCAGCAGGCGGCACGATGCAGGGCGGGGGTCCCCGGGGCGCTCCGGTCCACGGCCGGAGCCATGGCGCAGGTAGGGCCCGGGAGTTACGAGGAGGGCGAACGCGGCCTGCCGAAACCCGGGCGTGGCTCGGGTTACAACTCTGGTCCTACACGCCCTGGTGCAGGGGAGGGAAACCGAGGCAGGGAGGGGGTGTTCAGGGTGAGTGCGGTCGCGTCTCCAGCTGCCACTGCAGCTCTCGTCCTAGCATGTCCCAGCCCTGTGGCCCAGGAGCGCAGTCAGAGGAGAGCGCGCGCGCGCGGTCTCTCCATTCCCCGCGTGTGTCCGGGTGGCATGACAGACGTGGGGTGCGCGCGAGTGTGAGGTGGTCCCCGGACTCCCTACAGCCAGTCTCGGGTGGCCGGCGCAGAATCTGCGGGAACGCAGGGCGATGTTGGGAGAGGTGTGGAGAACTGCAGCCCCCACCTCCTGGGGACTGCTTGCCGCCCACTTCCGATTGTGGACTGTGACGCGCAGGGCAGCTCAGACTGAACGGACCCACTCCATTTCCTCTATCAGCTTGGGCCACCTACCAAACTCCAGTGATGACATCAAGTTAAGTGGGTGGCCGCTTTTCAGTAACGAAGAGACCTCATCAACTCACTGTCAGAAAGCTGGGGAAAGGAGCATGATTGCAGCACATGCCTCTAATACCAGCACTCGAAAGACTGAGACTAGAGAATTGCAGAGATTTCCCAGGACATCCAGGGCTACATAATGAGACACTATCTCAAAAACCAAAATCAAAACGTAGCAAAAACCAAGCATGGAACCCTGCCTGAGACTGAGGCTTTGTAGCTTGGGCATGCGATGCTGAAGGAGAGAAGGCAAGGGACTTAGGCGCTTCTTTTAGCGCCTGGAGCTTCATTTTAATCATCTGTGAAAGGAACACTAATCGCCAGCCTCTGTCTCCTTAACTAGGTTGTGTGAAGACATTTTTACAAGTGGGAGTTGGAAAACACGGCATGGGTAGTGGGGTGTCCTAGACTCATGTCTCAGTTTCCCGATTTGTAAAATGGGGCTGATTTCCCTACTTCTTCAGTAGGGTTGTTAAAGGGTTTAATGTGGTGGGGGACACGAGGTCGTTGGTCTAATGTCTGAGATACACAGCAGCTTCTCAAAAACCTCTTTCTTGTCTAGGCTAGCCTTACACCCACTGCATACCCCAGGCTGGCCTCCAACTTGCTATTCTCCCAAGCGCTGGGATTACAGGTGTGCTTCACTATGCACGGGTCCTTAATTACTATTTTGGCCATGCAAGACCTAAACAACTAGGGTTGATAAGGGAATGCCAGAATGAATTGGTTAGAGTCTGGACAACAGGATATTTTAAAAGACATTTGGTAGGCGGATCGCTGTGAGTTCAAGGCTGGGCTGGACCCACAGCCTCGAAAACAATACAGAGAAACCCTGTCTCATAAAAACCAAAAAAAAAAAAAAAAAAAAAAAAAAAAAAGACATTTGGCATCCTGCATGGAGACTGATGATGTTCGGTCAGGACTCTGTCCACAGCAAAAAGAGCCCTGAATGAGAAACCCATTTTATGAGTTGTCACCCCAATCCTCAGTTTTCTCTTTTGTTTATAAAGAGAGAGAGAGAGAGAGAGAGAGAGAGAAAACAGGCTGAAATTACTGCCTTTTGCACTGAGAGTGTTTTCCTAGGATCAATGAAGCAGGGTGTCTGGAACTTGGGGGCTGATGCCAGCATGCAGATGCCAGGTACCATGTTTGCACAGACTGCATGGAGCAGGAACTTGCTCCTGACCTTTGATGGCCGCTCCCCTAACCTGGGTGGGGCTGGTGCTGCAGTCCTCATCTTCCCTTTGACACAGCAATGCTTGTGGTCATCTTGCCTGTTGCCCAGGTTGTTAAATAAGGATGGAGGCTTAGCACCCAGGTGCAGGAGTCCCTAATCACTGGTTGAAGGGAAGGCATCAGGTGGAGATGAGGTTAAGAGGGTCATAGGTAATAATATAGCATATATCTCAATTCGTAGCTTCTATATCTATCTTTATCATCTATCTGTCTGTCTATCTGTCTGTCTATCTGTCTGTCTGTCTATCTATCTATCTATCTATCTATCTATCTGTCATCCATCTACCACCTGTCTGTTTACCTACCTACCTATCTATATGCAGTCCTAGGGATTAAACTCAGGGCTTTGTGCATGATGGGCAAGCACTCCATCACTCAGTCATACCTCTAGCCTACGTTTTCACAATTATAGGTCCTAAAAAATAAGAATAAATTGCAGAAAGAACTTTGAGACACACTAATTTTGTTTGTATTTTATAAGGTCCTATTTTGTGATGTCCTTTTGCAGAAGAACAATGAATTATGAAAACTTCTCAAATAAAAAGGCATTTTATTTAATCCCAGCACTCGGGAGGTGGATCTCTGTGAGTTCGAGACCAGCCTGGTCTACAAGAGCTAGTTCCAGGATAGCCTCCAAAGCCACAGAGAAACCCTGTCTCAAAAAACCAAAAAAAAAAAAAAAAAAAAAAAGGCATTTTAAACTTTGAAAGAATGTATCATGATGACATCTTAGCTCAAACCTCAAAGAAGGACTTACTGAATGCTTTAACATTTGAACTTGCTGGAAGCCTGTGAGGTGGAGAGTTTTGGTTCGACAGTCACTTTGCAGGGCCGAGCCCTAGGACATGGCTGCACAGAGCTAGGTGCTACTTGAGATGAGAGGGGAGGGGTTTCAGAGAGGAGCGCCAAGGCTGGGGCTCTGTTACAAACTTAATTCATAGTTCCTCCGTTTCTGAAATGAAGTTATTCTTGTTGATTTTTCTTTTTGTTGGGAGCACAGAAATGGGCACACTAGTAAAACCCACCTCACATTAAAACCTTGGACTCTCACCAGAGCAGACAGCCTGAGGCCTGGATCCTTGTGTGTTATGCTTGTCAGTGCTTGCCTATTTCAAAGATGGGATGCCCATTATTACTACTTTTATTAAATGATGAAAGTGATACTTGCTCACTGCTCAGACATGAAGACACATGGGTGGAAAAAAAGCCAATTTTTTGTGCTCATTAAAATGTCTTCATTAAGAATAATCTTTAGTCTCAAAAAACCAAAAAAAAAGAATAATCTTTACTAATGTTTTTGTGTATATGTGCATGCATGTCTGCACATGTCCAAGGAGGCTAGAAGAAGGTACTGGGTCCCTTGGAGCTGGGAGTTACAGGGAGTTCAAAGCTACCTGACATGGGTGCTGGGAACTGAATTCAGTTCCTTTGGAAGATCCTCATTCTCTTGACTTGCTGAGACATCTCTCCAACCCCCTAAAAACAACTTTCACATTTTGATTGAAAAACCGATAGTCAGTTGTAGATGTCAGGATTTTATTGTGGTTTCAAGCTTGATTTTAGACCTTTAGAGCTAAGAGATAATGGTAGCATTGACATTATAAGGTCCAAAGACAGCTGGGCTGTGGTGGCACACTCCTTTAGTCCCAGCAATTGGGAGGCAGAGGCAGTTAGATCTCTGAGTTAGAAGCCAGCCTGGTTTATAGAGCAAGATTTGGATCAGTCAGGGCTACACAGAGTATCCCTGTCTCAAAAAAAAAATACTATCCATGTCAGCATCTGAGAGTAAGAATGGGTGACATTTTAGATCAGGACCATTAGACAAGAATTAGACTTGTTATTTTATAATAGTAATACATAATAATAATCGATATTATATGCTCTATTTTCATGCCACACTGGCTGTGTCCTTGCTACCCACATGCCTTGGGCAGTCTTTCTGGGCTGGGAACAGTCCTCTCCTGGCACGGCTAGGTTACCTATGTTGGTCATTTGTTCCTTAGCATCCTTCAGTAAGGATGGCTTTCAGGTCTGGGGAGCCATCTGCTGTTTGGGCTTGATTCTAAGGGCACTGTGAGGGCAGCTACCTAAATGGCTTCTGGACAGCTTCTATGAGTTCTTTTTAATCCAGATGCTTTAGCCATTCAGAATCCACTTTCTCTTCTAGAGTCAGGACTCGCCTGTTGCTTGTGGAGCTCAGAGTTTCACACTAAGCAGAAGAGGGGAGGGAAGAAGGGCTGAGGCTGTCAGTGGACGAGATATTGGTGTTTGATTTTTGGGAGGTGTCAGGGGTTCATGAGAGTCTTTCTCTCCCTGCCTTCTCCTTTTGTTAAGAGAAGCTTTTCCTTTTGCTAGCCGCTTTGGTTTATCACCCGCCAGTCGCCTGGGCTCTGCCGCATTGTAGTTCCCAAATAAACACACAGGAGGCTATATTAATTATGAAGCTGTTGGCCTTGCTTGTTTCTTACTGGCTAGCTCTGACTTAAGTAATTACCCCATAATTGTTAATCTAAGTATTTCTCTTACCGGAGAATGGTTCCGGGCTTCCTACCCCCATGACATTACATCTTGACTCTCCGTGTTTCTCCTTCCCAGAATCCTCCTGGACTCCTAGTCCCACCCATCTAGATTCCTATTGGCTTAACAGTACTTTATTGGCAAATGCACAGGACTTCCCCCAACATCTCCTCTTTTCTGTTTAAACAAAAAGAAAGGTCTTAACTTTAACACAGTCAAATTGTGTATAACAGAACAGTTATCAAATAAGAACATAGTTACAATATTTTAGCAAGATTTAAAGAAAATATCATCCATCCCATCCTTGTGAGTCCAAAGTTCTATATGTAGCTTATCTTTTATCATAACTAAGGAAAACTATAATTATAACTATCTATCTTCAACTTCATCAAAGACCACAGAAGGATAATATATAAACACTAGGATTGACAGAGACATCTTACTGCCTGGACAGTCACCCGAAGTTCCTCTGTAACGTTGGGGCATCCATCTTCAGCCCATAGGCCACAATGTGTCCAGAAGATTTCTCAGCAAAGCAGGAAATTTCAAACTGTCCATCTGCATTGGCAGTCTGTCAGTCATTTCTCTGTCCTGTAGAAAGTCTGGTAGACTCTTCTATGAAGCAGGAACCCTGTAAGACTGAGTTTAGCAGTCACTTTTCTGTGGGTCCTGCATGTCCAGTTTATACAGCAACAGTCAAGC